GCTATTAGATTATGGATCAAACTTTTTCCACATCCACAAACTTGACTTTGGTTACCAATCTCATTTTGGTTAGTGTGACTTTGTCCACAACTACAGTTTGGTAGGTGGTACAACTAACTCTGTCCCATAATCACAAGCTTGACTTTTTTTCCTAAGTTTATTTTGATTCAATTTATTCAATAATTCATGTCAATTTAATTTTTTCAATTATTTTTTACACTCTTTTTTTTATTTATGAACCTTGGGTCTAATATTAAGTTAAATATGTATTGACAACGGGTCAAGTCAAATTAAATAAGGTTAATATATATCAAGTCAGACACCAATTCAAAAGACATGAAGCAGGAAAATATTTTTCTTCTTTGATAAAACCATTTGTCAAGTCCTGTTCGAACCAGTGAGAGGGTAGTGGATATTAAGGTTCTACGACCTCTTCGCTTCATCTTCTTTAGTTTCACTCTAAGATATAACTAAGATGGACGATACCTTCCTTTCCATCCCTAAATCTATCAATGAGTGTCACCCCAATAAACTATAATACCATATCTTAGATGCGATGATTGATGCATGCCTCAAGTAGGACCTTAACAACAAGGTTGCCTGTGAGACCTGCACCAAGACCCAGTATGGTCATGGTCTTTGGTGAGATTACCACCGACTGCAATATTGACTATGACAAGATTATCGGTGACACTTGTCATGCTATCGAGTTCACATCTAAGGATGTAGGCCTTGATGTTGACCACTATGAGGTGCTTGTGAACATCGAGTAACAATCCCCTGACATGGTTCAGGGTGTTTATTGGCACTTCAAAAAGTGCCTTGAGGAGATTGGTGCTAGCGACCAGGAACACATGTTGGGCTGTGCAACTGGTGAGACTCCTAAGTTGATGCCCCTTAGCTATGTCCTTGCTACAAAGCTTGGTGCTTGCCTCACTTAGGTTCACATGAATGGAACTTATCCATAAGGAGATTGGTGCTGGTGACTAAGGACACATGTTCGGCTATGCAACTAATGAGACTCATAAGTTGATGCCCTTAGCCAGTCCTTGCTACAAAACTTGGTGCTTGCCTCACTGAGGTTTACATAAATGGAACTTATCCTTGGTTGTGGCCCGATGGTAAGACCAAAGTTACTATCGAGTACCAGGACGACCATGATGCTGTGGTTCCTATCCTAAGGCACACTATCCTTATCTCCACCGAACACAATGAGACTGTGATTAATAACGAGATTGATGTTGACCTGAAGGAGCATGTTATCAAGCCTATCATCTCGGAGCAATAATTGGATGAAAATATCATCTTACATATGAACCCCTTTGGTTATTTTGTTATCGGTGGATCTCATGGTGATGCTGGTCTTGTTGGCCGCAAGATCATTATTGACACCTATGGTGGCTGGGGAGTATATCAATGTAGTGACTTTTTAGGCAAAGATCTTACATATGGAGATAGTATCTTTTTAAGCTAATGAGCTTGCTCATCGCTGCATCATTTAGGTTTCCTATCCCTGAGCCACTATCTATATTTGTTGACACTTATAGAATAGGCAAGATCCCTTATAAGGAGATTTTGAAGGTTGTGAAGTAGAATTTTGATTTCAAACTTGGGATAATCTCCAACCTGACCTAAAGAGGGGTGAGGACACATATATGATGATAGAAACTTATATATAGATATTTTAGTAGGAATAAGCCAAGCTTCTCTTAGGAGATAGTCAAGCCCCTCAAGTGAGAGAAGCCACATATGTTGGTCATGATGACCTAAAAGGTGAGGTTGTTTTTGCTCTTGTAGTCATAGCAAGACTATTATCGTTCATTCCCTTTTGTTTGGTTGGGTTATGTTACATGGTTTATTTTGTTTCTTTGTTATAATGGTATGAAGTCATTGACAAATGATTTGATGAAAGAAGAAAAGAATTTGTGTTAAAATATTTATCAATGGCAACCCCTTTCAGTTCTAGTCCTGCTTCATTTCGTTTGGTCAGGCCCAAACTATGGTAGTCAAGCACTAAGATCCATCGATCTCTTTTGGTCAAGCCCTTAAGCTCACTTGCATTAGTCAGACTCCAACCTCCACTAATCCCTTCTGGTCATGCACCATGCTCACTTGCATCAATTAGACTCCAACCTCCATCGATCCCTTCTAGTCACGCCCCAAGGTTACTTGCATCAATCAAACTCCAACCTCCACCAATCCCTTTTGGTTAGGCCCCAAGCTCGCTTGCGTCAGTTATACTCCAAGTTTTACGATCTCTTTTGATCAGGCAACCTACTAGACATCTTCAGTCTACCCAAGTAATTCAGCTAGACCTCACTTTTACCTGTGTTACCACTATAGTCAAATTTTAAATTAGAAGTGAAGTCCATGCACTCGCTCTACATCTCCAATGATTTAGAGCTAACACATTGGTGGCCATTCATTGGCAACCCCATACTTACGTGCATTCGATCACCAAGGGATAAGTTGTGCCTATCCCTACTGCACAACTATGTATAGATCCCTTGAGTGGAATTGAACAGTCAATCATTTCTAATATCAGTTTGTTAGGATGCCTCCCATTTTATTCTAAGTTGACCCATGGGTGTTTGGAACTCTATTGGAGTTAACGAGTCTATTTTTATTCAATTAGCTTATTTGATCTCATCATTTGATAGTTTGTTCGCAAGCAATCCTAGATTGGTGCCTCCTGCATTCTCTAAGTTATGTATTATTGTCACTATCCCCCACTAACTTAGTTGTAATATGTACTAATTATTTTGTAGATAAGCATACTTTAGTTTTTCATTATAAGTAACAAGTAATAATCTTAGATATGTTATCCTTCCAATATTATCAAGTGTAAAGTTAAGACATGAGGTAAAGCTATAAGGGGTTGTTGTCGCTATACCCCCTATTAACTCAGATGTAGTCTATATATCAAATAATGACTAATCATGTTATAAGTATACTTTAGTTTATCATTGTAAATAATAGGTAATAACCTCATATATATATTAACCTTCCAATATTAAGCTTGAAGCAGAGGCATGAAGCAAGGTTCTAAGAGATTGTTGTCGTTATGCCTCCCCAAATCTTCGATGTAGTATATATATTAGATGATTCATTTTTTAGATAAGTATACTTTTTTTTTGCCATTATAAATAACAGGTAGAAATCTTATATATATTAATCTTCCAATATCGAGCTTAAAGTAAAGACATGAGACAGCGTTTGTAAGGGATTATTATCATTATGCCCCCTATAAACTTGGATGTAGACTGCATACTAGATGATGACTAATCATTTTATAAATAAGCATACTTTAGTTTGCTATTATAAATAATATGTAATAACCTCATATATGTAAATATTCTAATATTGAGTTTGAAATGAAGACATGAGGTTGGGTTGTAAAGGGTTGTTATCACTATGTCCATATTAGATAATGATTGATTATTTTTGTAGATTAGTGTACTTTAGTTTATCATTTATAAGTAATAAGTAATAATATCAAATATGTTAACCTTCTAATATCAAACATGGTATATACTAATTATTAACAATATAACTTTAAAAAATGATTAAGCCACGGAGATTATCAAAAAATATTCTTGTTTGATGAGAGATTAAAAAATTATTTTTATATTGATAAATATCGATAGAGTCGAATGACATATTTTTGAGTTTAACTAATGCAAGCATGCTTAAAATTTTAATTATAGGTCAAATTTAATATATGTTACTCGATTTTCTCGATATTTATTCTTTTAGTTCTCTTTTCAAACTCTCTTGATACAAATATTTTCTAATAGCTAATATCTTATTTGGTGTTATATCTAATAGATTTCTTTGAGGAACTTATAATCTCTCATGTAAATAAGGGAGAAAAATATGTTGTGCACCGGAGGTTTTAATCTCCTCAAGTAAAATAGAAAAGAAATATATAGAGGTGTTTTGAGTAATAAAGTTTAAGTTTCACTTTAAAAAAAGAGAACTTAAAAATTTCTTCCTTAAAAAGCCTAAAGTTAGACAACTTTTGCCCGGATAAATCAATCTAAAAATATTATAATATAATGTATGGGATGGTGTCATGTGTTCTAATTAACTAAAATACTTCATATCATAACTAAATATTCACAATTTTGTTAGTGATAGACTAATCATATTGTCCTTGACAAGAACAATAAAATGACGAGCGATGACAATGGATTGAAATTTTTTGGACATATAATTTATTTGATTTCGAATCTATCTAAATAATATGATATGTTTAAGAATAATTACTCGAATGATTAATGAACAAGTTATCCCATCATAAAAAAAGTACATATCCACTGTATTAATTTTCAAGGTTCGCCACCATAACGTACTAGCGTATCGAACGATACATCAGGATGTACCGAGCGGTATACCCTGATGTACCGAATAATTTTATATTTTTTTATACTACTACAGTATAGTATTGTAGTACTATAGCAGTACTACAATATAGTATTGTAGCACTGTAACAGTACCGGACGGTCCACGTACCGATAATCTTACCGCCCGGTATGAGTGATACACTTCGGTATGCAGACCTTGTTAATTTTTTGATCCAATTTAAATCAAATTAAATTATTTGGTAACTGAATTTATGATAATTATAGATAGATAGCAAAATTGAAGACACCAAGTTGGACTTCGTACTTTTAGCTAATTACTTAAAAATTAACAAAATAATATGATATCTTATCCATAGCCATCCCCAAATGAGAGCTCCACGGTATCCTTTTTTTCTTCTTCTTCTTCCACCTAGTACGCCTTCTCAAGTTTTCACAAAGCATGTCTTCATTAGAACATATGAACAAAGCAATTGTTTATTAACGTTTAACAATAAATATATTAGCAAATGGCTAATGATTGATTCATTCGTAACAAGTGTTTCTGGCTTATATCATTTTTTCCCCGTTTTGCATGGGAATACCGGGATTTAAGTTTATAACATTGTACCGGGATGCAATAATGTGAAGTTTCGTCTTCGTCTCTCGTGCCCGCCGTTCCCCGTTCGACTTCCGTCTGTCCTTTTCGTGGCGGCGGGTTGAGACCTTGGAAATCATCACCTATCGGCAGAGAAGATGCTGAGGGTTGCCGGAAGAAGGCTCGCTGTCTGCTCATGGCGGCCGGCCCCCACAGCCTCTGTTCTCTCTTCGCGGGATCCCGTCCGTGGCATCGGGGACTCGTCCGCTGCCGAAGATCCGACAACGGTCCTTGACCGATCTTCCCGGTCTGTCTTTCAATCGCCTCTTCTTGGCGCCGTGAGAGGTCAGGGTTTCGTAACCTTCTCGTTTTGCACTTGAATCTATTTGTCACCGAGATGTATCATTGTTTGTAGATACTGATCTTGATAGGAGAAAGTTGGGTTCTTTTGGTGATTTTATCGTTCTTCCTCCTTTTTGTAGTTTGGCTAATTCCTGCATCATTCATTAGAATCGGTAATTCTATGGTTGGCTTGTAAATAAATCTCGATCTGAATGTTTATAATTCTATGTTCTGTGGCCTATGCGTGCTTAACCGCTCAGAAATATTTTACTACAATGTGTAATAATTTCCATTTTCTTTGCTGATTATGAATGATGCCTTCGTAGAGCATGAGAACATGCCATGCTTAGTGGACTAGGAACACTGATAAACTGGAAGAGGAGGTTTCACAAGAGGATAAATCCGGTGTGTATAAAAAAGAAACTGATAAAAGCATGCATTTTTGTGTATTACTCGTATTTTAATGTTTGTTAGGTGATATGGGTAGGCTTGTCTCTGGAGACAATATGGCTTTAATGGTTGAACCATGATAGGCCATGAAGATGTAGGCCGACTATTTTTTGCTGAGTTTATTTTGTAGTATCCAGTAACCATGGATTTACTAAATTTGTGGAATAATTGCATTCTTAACCAGCAAGTTTCCTGTTTAATATTTAAGCAATATTATTCAGCATTACAATGAATAATACATCAGGATATGCCTTTCAGCAGAGAAGGATTAGAAAGAGGAATCAGAAGGTTAGAAAGTTTATTTGATGTTGTTTCGTCCAACATAGTCTTTGATCCATCAAGTTGCAACCAAACAGAACAGTCTCCACATCAAAATCCATGGCCAGTTTGCATTAGAATGCACTTTGGGATATTAGCACATTTTGGTGCCTAGCAGTTTTTAAATCATTGTTATATTCACATCAAATCAAATATATGATCTATACCTTCGAAGAAGATAATATTCTTGATTTGATTCGAGGGATAATCTTCCTTTCTTAATGATATATTGATTGATAGACTTTCATCTTTGTAAAGATGAATATTTAATATCTCCAATAAAAATTTGTAATCTTCAATCAATAATTTGATTTCTTTCACTTTTCCTGTATTTGTTTTCTTTTTCTTCGTCTTGAGTAGATGTTGCCATTTGGCAACTTATGATAAATGCAAAAATATCTCAAAACAAATAAAATTTATTCAAATAACACAAACTAAATTCATCCTATACCATACACTTCTGCTACAGTGGAACTCATCTTGAGTTCAAATGATTGGAGTATGGATCGGCCTTGATGATAGAACATCTTAGCTAAACCAATAACTGTGATACCAAATCTGATGCAGGACGAGAGTGACAGGATTTTTTTTTTGATAATAGAGGAAAATAAAAGAGAGGAATAGAAGATAATAACTGAAAGATAATAAGAAAACAAATGGATAACTACTAGACTCGCTCTGGCTTTAGGAGAATTCTCCCAAGATGAAGGCCTCGCATCTCTACACGTCTTTTACGTGGACGATGGAATCATGACATTAGAAAATAAATGTAGCCTCGCACCACTCACACTCAAGGTGGGAAAAGAATTCATTTCATTGATCCATTTTTAATTGATGCATTACAATATTCTAGCCCCTTTCATAAGCTCAAGTCCAAAGATAGAAAGGGAACTTACAGAAATAAGGAAATTTACAATCACATCAAATCAAATATACAATCTGTTCCTTCCTTCGAAGAAGATAATATTTTTTTACTTGATTTGAGGGATAATCTTCCTTTCTTGAGATATTATTGATTGATAGACTTTCATCTTTGTAAAGATGTATATTTAAGATCTCTAATAAAAAATTATAATTTTTCTAGTCCACTTATCGCAATAACTTTGATCTAATTTTACTCGGTTACGTTATTTGTTCTGTTTTATGGAGCCATAATTTCTTCAATTCACTATTTTTGTAGCTGCAAGCACAAGATAATAGGTAGACTAGTGATCATTCTTTTTCTTTTAATATCTAAGATACGTTGCTCAGACTTGGGCAAAGTGACACATGTATGTATGATATTTGTCTAGTGTGTGACATGCTCATGTGGTCGATGTGAATGGTTCAAATTGAAGATAGTGTATGGGATACAGCAATAACAAGCTGTAGTTTCCAATTATTTTAGGTACAGGGAAATGACACGATTTAAAATGTTTTAGGATATATCTAAAACATAAATTTTAAGTGATCATTTGTAGGTTATATAACTTTTATTTTTTAAATTAATTTATATTATTTTGAAATTTATTCAAATATTTCATTCTTCTTTTTTCTTTTTAGTTACTTTTCTTATCCTGTTATTTTCCTATCTTCTATCATTTTTATCCTTGCTTCATCTCCTTTATTTTGTTCTTCTCTTCTTGCTCTGTAGGATTTCTAATAGTTCAGAACTAGTGTTGTTGGGGATCCATGTCTCTTCCAATTGGAGAATAGTTAAACCAATCTGGGAGATATTTCATCTTTCCTTTTGGTAGAGATGTCTCTTGGCTTGCTTTCTTAACTTTTTCATGGTCTTGGTGGCTATAGAAGCAGCTTTTGTAATAACTACTTAGTGATGGTAGGGGTTTGTGATAATGGGCCAAGAATTGTAGCGAACCAGCATGTGGATTGTGGACCATTCAATTTTGGGGCGTCCTCATGTGATATAGGACTTACCATCTGCCGCCTCCCCTCCTCTCCTCTGGTGCCTCATCATCATCTGTTCCTCTCCTCTTCTATTTTTGTCGCCTTTGTATCGTGGTACGTCCTATTGCATTGTGTGTCGATATGACAATGGATCAGACCTGCACAGGTCTGGTTATGAACCAACATGAGTCTGGTGACCAAAATTGAGTTTCTTGGATGGGACAACAACAAAAGTGCAGGTGTTGAGTTATAGCAACATGGGTACAGTGAGGTGAAATACCGAGTTCAATGACCATGGTCCCTAAGTAACACATTTGGAATGCTTTAAGTGGATTATATGATTCCATAATTTAAAAAAATGAAACTTGATATGCAATCTTGTATGTTTGAGTTCATTAAGATTACATTACTGTTTAGTGGTAGAGGCTTTTGGATTTCCATATCTCTGTCTTTTTAGGATTCTAAATTGTTTTTCTTTTGTTAGGAATTTTAGATTTGTTGGCTTAGTCAATCTTTCATGTCGTGAAGCATAAACCTTCTAATCTATGTTGTATCAGAGGGGTCCAAATTTTACTGCATGATGAGCTTGGGATCGAATTTCATGGTATACCAGGCATGCGGACCATGTACCATCCTGTTGGTCTTGGCTATATTTTTCAAAATAAACTCATATTTTAGTTTTTTTTTAAGCTACAGATAACAACTGATACTGTGTTGACCAGTATATATTGATTCAAAATGTTCTGAAACTGTTATTGGTTCAAGGTTCTAAATTATGCTGGGGATTAGTATGTATGATGTTTATCTAGTTAGATTTGACCAAATCTTTGCAAGTTTATGCACGGAGAAAACTACACTATAGGCTAGGGCTAGGCAACTAAATTTTCCGATGTCGATTGAAAAGAGTCAAATAAAAAGCCAGTTGACAGTCTCTTTCGATCTAATATTAAGATATGATGCAACAGTTGTTGACTTTCATCCATCTAAAGTGAGAATAGTAAGATATGGAAAAGAATTGAATCCTACTAAATTGCTTTCTGAATGCAGATGTTGATAGTTTCAGTAGGTTTTGCTTGCTGAGGATTTCAGAATTGGAAGTAGCTATAGCTTGAAAATGGGCAACTTCTGAGTCTTGGTTTAGACGATCTAAATTTAGCATGACATGACAATGTCTTGGTGGTTTAATTTAGGTTGTCAAGCTACCTGTTTAGCACTTCTTTGGCTTGTAATTACTGCTTCCCAGTATGAAATGCAAGTTATTGGAATTTGGTCTCTATCTCGAGCAAGCCAAATGGGGACTTCTCTCAGTTTCTCTAGTTAATTCGATTATGGAAGTTGTAAATTTAGGAGTTCCAATGAAAATAAAATATCAGGGAAAGATAGAAAGAGATGAGTAAAAAGAAACTACAAGCATGTCGATGGTAATTGGAATCTGACATTGTGTCTATGGTTGGAAATGGAGTTTAAGCTACACAAGTTCAAAAAAAGGGAGTGCAGTTTACTTTTGCCTGAACACCATGCTAATCCATTGAAATAATTCTGTTTCTTCAAGAAATGTTAGATCATCTGCATCAAGGCTTTAATATACTAAAACTAAGAACAATTGTTTGTTTGATTTGTGACGTATAGATGTAACATATGTGTTGCTGACTTGTATTTCTAATGGTCATCTGCTAATTAAAATGAAAAAGGAGGAAGTGAGACAAGTTGAAAATCTGTCCCCTAAAATCTTGAAATTCCAACTATTGAGAATTTATTTGTAGGAAGATTTCTTTATTAGAATAGGAGAAGTTAGAGACATAAAAGATGACTAGCACAACGAGAGGTGCTTATTTCTTACGTAAAATATTACTAGTGAGAGGACTGCAATCATCCAATTTTCTAATATGCTACCAATAGCATGCTGCTGTACCTGATAGAGTGGACATGCAAGTGACATTTAATGCATATCGTGCACTTAGTTTGTGGTTTTTTTTTTATATATAAAACATGTTCTAATAAATGCATATTAAGGAAACTTTTAGTATGCAGTAGTTTTTACTTCTTAGAAGTGCTTGTAATGAGAATTTTGCTTTATTAGTGTTTGTTCTGTGAATTGTAACTATTATTATAATTTTTTTATTTTCATAATAGATCATCGATGTATGGTATCTTAAATAATTGTTAATGATCCAAAAGTTCTGCTTTCCTTCATTTTGTGTTGCTTAATTTGTGTCGCTCTTAAAAAATTATAGGGTATGTTTCTGAAATCATTGTCCCTAGACACCAGGATTTGGGTTTAGCTGATCTTCCAGCAACAGTGGCTGCTGTGAAGAATCCATCCTCAAGGATCACCTATGACGAACACAATCATGAGCGTTACCCCCCAGGCGATCCAAGCAAGCGAGCATTTGCATACTTTGTTTTGACAGGTGGAAGATTTGTTTATGCTTCTTTGCTTCGACTCCTGATTCTGAAGTTTGTGTTAAGCATGTCTGCTAGCAAAGATGTCCTTGCACTGGCTTCATTGGAGGTTGATCTCTCCAACATAGAACCAGGGTCCACAGTGACTGTAAAGTGGCGTGGGAAGCCAGTTTTCGTAAGGCGCCGAACAGCGGATGATATCAAGCTGGCAAACAGTGTTGATGTTTCATCTCTTCGTGATCCCCAGGTGGATTCAGACAGGGTGAAGAACCCCGAGTGGCTTGTTGTAGTTGGTGTTTGCACCCATCTGGGCTGCATCCCTTTACCAAATGCCGGAGATTTTGGTGGCTGGTTCTGCCCTTGCCATGGTTCACATTATGATGTTTCTGGTAGGATCCGCAAGGGTCCAGCTCCATTTAACCTGGAGGTGCCCCAGTATAGCTTCTTGGAGGAAAACAAGTTGCTTATTGGCTGAATCGGCAAAACTTCGTTCCTTTATTGTCATGTGACATGGATCTTTTTTGTCGGCCAGTCTGTCTGGCATTTGAATATGAATAACTCCAATTTGCCTTGGAGGACCAGATAGTTTTGAAGCTGTAGTATGTGCATTGTAGTACGGCACAGTAAAGTTCCGAACAATATTTATTGTACTTATTGAATTAAATTATGTCAACTTTATTTAGATCCCTGTAAAATTTTTTGAGCTACTGTATCGTATTCCGTTGCCCCTTGATGCTGTGTGGTTGTGACCAGTTGTTCAGCCTAACTGCTTGTTTCCATGAGCTCTCTCATCGGTATTCAGGTCCCTCGTCCTTGTTAGTTAAATTTGCTATTAGAAACATAAAATGCAGAAACATTAATATCTTTCAAAAATATTACACGTGTATCATTGTTCATATTTTTAGGTATCATTCTAATTTAAGGTCACCAAAACTGATAATATTTAAATGTTATCAAATATAGAGAGAAGATATACGTATGTATAGACGTAACATTTAAGCTTTCATAAGGATATAGACGCTACATTTAGATTTAGAGGGATAAATATGCTATAGATATATCAAACCCCTATTCACCAAGAAAAAGAAAGGCGGTAGAGAGTTCGTTGGTAGTGTGAGAGGGAGTGAGGCAAAAGTGAAGCACCATGTAAGATGTCTCATCTCTTTTATCTTTTTGTTTGCACATGAGGGTGGTTTGTGGTTCTCGCATCGTGAAAAGATGGTATCAAAATGGTAACCATGACGTGGAATGAATCAGGTTCACCTGTAAATAGGATGCATCCCGATGGTAAGTGGCTTGTGATGAGTGCTTGTTCACCATATTCTCGGAGTTACTAGTATTCCTCGAGCTGAGACATAACTCTATAAATGATACTGAGCGCAAATGGAAAGAAGTTTGAGCTCGACGCGATGAAGCAAGTAACGTGGATTGCTCCATCGCGTGCTGTCCACGAATCAAATGTCAATGAGAGTTGAGAGGAAGATGTCTTCAGGCTTTTGAAGTCTGGGATTAATTAATACTTAAGAGGAGGTGATTAGTGTGGCTACGTAGCGGTGAAGTGATGTCCTAAATTCTTAATGTACTCTCCGTCCTTTTTTCCAGACGAAACACGTTATAATACTTGGAGCAATCCATTTACTTCATACGATAATGAGCCATCGTCTAAATCAAACGGCGTTATTGTGGCACATAGTGGTAGACTTGGTTCGTCTCAAACTCGAGCCTTTCTCAGTTAAAAAATAAGATGATAACTAAAAGAAAAGAAAAAGAAAAACTAATCAGATGCCACCTTTTACATCGCCATCATATTCCTACTGATACAGGTTTTCAAGACGAGAGCCACAATATAACATAAATAGAACTCATTATTGGTAAATGATACAACAAAGATGACGGTAGTGAAGAATCAATGGGAATCATCTTCCAGACATGAGATTGACTAAAGCTTGTTTCTCGTAGGAGCCCACGTCCCAGTCTTCCTTACCCGCAGATAGTGTCATCAACGACACAACAATTTGTCTCATAGTTGGCCTCTGCTGACGATTCTCTTCAGTGCAACTCTTCGCAAGCCATGCCATCTAAAAATAAAAAACAAGCATAGTTTAACAGTATGACGTTTTCAGTCATAAATTAAATCATATAATTGGTTACTTTCTGACCGCAATGACCGAGTCAATTGGATAGTCCTGACCGAGCCTTGGATCGATCAACTTCCTCAGTTCTTCCTTCAGATCAGGTTTACTAAGAGCCTCCTCAAACTGCAGCATGCACGCAAGAAAATTAATCATCGTTGAATTACTCAGCCAGCAATATTATGCAATGCAAAGAAAAGCCTGGATTTCCGAATGAAGTAATTCAACATTGGAATAACTGGTGATGCAATCAGGAAGTGTCTCTGAGAAAGATCATGCAATTACCATAACAGGATCCAAGAAACGTATAGATGTTATTGGTTTGAACTAAAACCATAATTCTTGTTAATAATGCTGGACAAATTAGGATGACAGCCTATATTGAGTAGGGAAGCAGAAAACAACCAGAGCAATCAATCCCTTCGATTGTGTGACAGAACCACCTGTTTTCACAATTGCACCTTTGGCTGAAATAAGTTCATAAAGAACAACACCAAATGCGTAGACATCCACCTTAGGAGAAATTTCACCATATTGTGCATACCTGCATGATAAATTCAGACAAATTACTGGCTACAACATGCATTGACATGCATTGAGGAGACAAGTTCCTGCTGTAGATTCAATTGGCAAAGTTTGCTACTTTCTGATTCTTGCTATTTCAACAGAGCAATCATAATTTAATTAAACTGATTGATGTGTGGAATCTACTTTAGTGTTAAACTCATTTAATATGATCTGACCGTAAGCTTGCTGACACTATGAGCTGCAAAATCATATAATTCCCCTGCTTCATTGTCTACAAATTAGATGATTCATCATCTTAACAGTACTGATTCATATCAATTTATGCATAATCATCTTCAGACTGTTCTAAACCATGTTTTAAATTGAGACCTATAAGACAACAGAACGAAGAAAAAAAAAAGAAAGGAAAAGTTAATGAACAATAAAAGAAAAGGCAACATTAAAGCATTAATAAGAATTTTACGAATACAACTTTATGTTAAACTCCTATGAAGAGGAAGAACCTAATTATATAGGGAATTATCGAAGTTAGTGTTGATCAAACCTAGATAACAGTCTAGGCTCTTACCATTCAGTTTAGTCTCACCTAGGCAATCAAATATGGGTTGGACCAATCAGTAAATAAACTGGCAAAAACTGAGCAGTATTGTTCTAATTACATGATAAGGCTAGAATGCCAAATGTATGATCTGGTATTTGTCCTGTACTGATGATTTCCAAATGGTAAGTCCAGCGCCTAGTTCAGATCCGCTGTCCAACTAAAAGCCAGGTCGTCTTGGGTGAAAATTCTGTTGTTGCTTGGTATTTTGTGAACTATTCTGGGTACAAGTCCTATTTTCATTATAGTAGTGGGCATTGTTAGAATATTTTTGTCATCAATAAAATGACAATATATTTGTCATCAATAAACTTCTATTATTTATTTTGTTAGAATATTTGACAAAAGAATATTTGATTCAATTCTACATCAGTGCTTTAATCTCCTTAGTTTGCTCTTGCAAGATCATGAATTTGGATGTGCTTGCCTAGTTAATCTCCTTTCATAGTTTGCTTTGCAAGATCATGATATTGTATGCCTTAAAAAGTATAGTCTTATGGCATGACTGGAAGGCAATTCCTCCCTTTAAAAAATATCCATAATTATTGTAAGCACAAATAAGCCAAAAGTACAAGGAACAAGAGAAAATAAAGAAAGGTTGTCTTCTCTTAGGATAAAACTGGTTCCTTTCCCTCTCGGCTCTAATGATGCCAATTGCCAAATCATCATTTTTTTCACATGCCGATTACTTTCCCCGTATTATCATCTCTATATCCTACTACTTCAATGCTTTAACCCAAGCATTTTGGGGGGAATGTTGCCCAAGGCCTATGTATGTCAGTGGGCTACTTGAGTCACAATAAATTTTATCCTAGTATCTTATTAATCCAATAACTTATACAACTAGCTTAGTCATGTGACTACAAATGCTTAAAAATTCAAGTTATTAGCGGTATGTTATTGAGTCCACATATACAAATTCAATCATGGGAGTAATATTATCAATATATCCCCCAACAAATACCAAATGCCTTCATCAGGGCAAGAAACATCTCTTAAAATCCCCAAGCATCTAAACTAGGAGAAATTAAGGGAAACTCCCATATAACTGCACATGATGTACATCCTGCATAATCAAACTATAAATCTACATATTGTTCAGAGACCATTTATCATTAACTCACATATGCCTTTAAGATGGCACACAATGAGCCTCAAGCCACATGGCTCTTTAAACTCAGCCCTGTGCCACCCGGGGGGTTCCAGGGTGCTGAGATGGCTGACGTTTTGCTCCGCTCATGGCGGTCGCCGCGGCACACAAAAACAGCCCAAAAACAGCCCAAAAAACGGGCCAAAACAGGCCATTTTTGGCTGCGCGAGCGAGCGGCGAGAGGCGGACAGCGAGCGAAGTGAGGGGCAGCACCGTCCCTGCTATACGAAAGCCCCATCCAGCCCTGTGCCACCCGGGGGGTTCCAGGGTGCTGAGATGGCTGACGTTTTGCTCCGCTCACGACGGTCGCCGCGGCATGCGAAAACAGCCCAAAAACAGGCCAAAACAGCCCAAAAACGGGCCAAAACAGGCCATTTTTGGCTGCGCGAGCGAGCGGCGAGCGGCGGACAGCGAGCGAAGCGAGAGGCAGCACCGTCCCTGCTATACGAAAGCCCCATCCAGCCCTGTGCCACCCGGGGGGTTCCAGGGTGCTGAGATGGCTGGCGTTTCGCTCTGCTCATGACGGTCGCCACGGCACACGAAAATCAAGAGTTATAAGCTACTAAGTCCATATAAACTAGTCCAAGTGTGTGATGATTGGGGTGTCACACCACCCTCATGCAAGTATTTGAATATATAAAAAGTTGTTTTGTCTAACATAGGTTTTGCAATCAATAAAGTATATCCTTTGTCATTTTTAAATAGATTTTTATGTATCCATATAAAAGAGGTTCAGCCCAGCTTTATGAATTCAGTTAGACATGTACACGAATTCTATATCTTAATATATACAAACATGTTCTACTAAATGCCCGCCAATCTGATTCTCTGATCTTAGTTGGTTTGGATTCTTGTAAATAAGATTTACACTCTAATCCTTGTCAAGAGACATTGACTCATATCAAATTTACAGTGCCTTGGTTCTTATTTCCACACTTCCTTCTAGGCATAGTTTGTTCATTGATCAGATATTCACCCTTATCTGGATTACACGTCATAAAGCATGAAAATTTATGCCATTCTCAGTGAGGGAGCACACACAGGACCACACAATCAGTTTTTCTGATTTATCCAGGTCAATTGTGTTCTAACTCAACGTCATTGGAAGCAGCTTGGAGGCAACAAAATAATCATCCATTTGACCCACTTTGGATTAGATTTAATTCCTTGAAAATTTTTCAGGTTAAGGCACTCTTTTACAAAGACTACTGTTTAAAAATTTAAATACCTGATCCCTAATGCCAAATTGGAAGCAGCGAATGCTAGAATATAGTTAATCGTGGTTGACAAAGGACCAGC